TAGTAATTGTTAATTTTGAAGTTTAACTTGATATGTCATTTTAACAGAACGTCAACGGTTTCTTGTAGACGTATCTGTTTTAAAAAAGTAAAGTGTTCTCGAATAGTTGAATTTAAATATTTTAAATTGTTTTTTTCTTTATTCATTGTATTTTTTCTTGCTTCCGACGACGGAAAGAGATAAACTTTCCGAAACATTAAGCATTTTTTTCTTTGTTAGGCAAATTTGTATAACTGTAAACATAACTTCTGACAAGCAGTGTCCGTTTAGGTTTACGGCAGAAGTGTTTACAAAAAATAACTATTTTATTTTGTAGATTTTCTTGCAGTGCAGTGGCGAAATACCCATAAAGGATTTTTTTGGAGTGATGAATCCGCCACATAGGTATAGACATTTTTTGAAAAGTTTATTGTTTTATAAGCTAATTATTAGGCTTTTTCTATGGATACAACCGACTACCACAAGCTGTTTCTAGCATTCTATTAATGTTATTTGTATTTTTCTAGACTTTGTGAATGATCGTAAAGTTTTAAGCATAAAGTATAATTTAAACCACTAATTTATATCGCGGTGTATATCGGGTTGCATAATCGTAAAATTTAAATAAAATAATATTTAACAATAAAATTATAGTAAACATGATGCAAAAATAATAGTTATTTGCGATAATTTATGAGCTAGCACACAGAGGTCGTTGCGAGGAAATTTGACTGTTACACTACAAATTTTCTAAAAAAATAAAAATTAACACATTTTTTGAACACAACAAAATAATATTAACTAAACAAAACTAGAAAACGTCATTTTTGCTGCATCACAAGCAAATAAAAATTAATACGTAGCCAAGAGTCATAATTCAGGATTTCTCTGGGGGTTGCCCAACAGTACCTGAGGGGGGGGGGCACACCCGGGCACCCCTCTGGTTACGCCAATGTTGAGTGGTTAAATTGCTTTTTGACGTAAGAATAAAAAAAACTGAGGTTCCAAAGTTATGATGCAGTTAGTTTCTATTTGACAAGTAGATGACAAAACCACAGTCTTGCCCCTATAGTTGATATGTTGATATGGGAAGTAGGGTTTCCGAAACCGGAACTGTTTTGCGGAAACGGGAATTTCGGTACCAAACCATTAAGGAACCCGGATTTCCCGCGTTACTCGGTACTTTCGGTACCAGCTAATTTTTATTCAATTATGGTGCTGTCAATCAGCAAACGAGGTATTTTTCTTTCAATATACTTATACTGTCGTTTAAAATATTTACTTTTAAGCTTCACTAAGAACCTTTGAATGTCAAAAACGTAAAATTGATATAAAATTGAGTCTGTTTAATGAAAATAACATCAAATTTTATTATGTAATCACTCATGTGTGAGAAAATTAATTAACATGCTACCGATGACACGTTGAATTAACAAACACGAACGTAAGCGAAGAAAAAAACATACACATCTTAAAGTTCACACACTAGTTCACATTTGTATATAAGTCAATTGGGAGTACTTATAGTTTTGGAGATCTCTTGATGAGTCAGTTATACTCACTGCATTATTTATACTAACACTCAGATTGGTGCCAATGAAAATTAAAATAATAATATTTCCTATTGTTCATCGTTTTCAATTTATATAAGTCCATTTTGACTAATACTGAGAGGGATTGCGAAAGGTCTCGACATCGACTTTGGAGAATTTTAGAGTTGTGAAATATTTCATACTCTTATGAAGGATCACGACTACTAATTTTAACGATACAAGCTTATTTCTACTAAGCCTGAAATTGAATATAAAAAGAATGTAAGTTTTGATTTAAACATAGCAAGAGATCTCTTAGCATTCAGTGTGATTATAAAATGGGTACATTCATAGATAGGTATATCATAATAATCACAATCCATGACATTTACAGCAATACTGTAAAAAATATATAAAGCAATTTTCACTTAATTAGGGCAAACATATCCAAGTTAAAATTTTGTATGAAGGAGTTTTTTGTATTAAGGAAAACTGTGTTTAGAAATTATTTTACATTCATTCTCATTAAAATAATATTTAAGAATCGTGATGTAACGATGTACTAATGATGTAAGTGTTTAGGTGTCTAGTGGGGAATTAGTGTTTGGTTGGTGTTATACTTTTTTACTCAGTAATTTTATGCAGGGGTGCCCGGTGGCGTAGAGGTACAGGCTCTCGTCTGCGAATCTCAAGGTTGTGGGTTCGAATCCCACACCCGGCATTTCATTAGCCGACTATTTTTATTAAAATAAAAATAATTTGGGTACCTAGGTCGACTCAGCCTTAAATGAGTACTTGGGATTCACAATCCTGAGGTAATAATGGGCGGTTGAAGCGAAGTGCTAGCCACATTACCTTCCTTGTATACCGGACGGCTCTAGCATGGCAAGCTGTACCTTGTACTCCCAAGGCGTTAAACGCTGTATACGGGAGCTATTATTATTATTAATTTTATACAGGTACGAACAAAAAGATATTACTCTTCAAACCAGTTAAAAAATATGTAGGTGGCTCTCTCTACGCGCAGGAGTCACATTGACATCAAAATCAAATTTCTCATATCAAAAAACTCCCAAACACCGATTTTCACACCCTGTATCTCCGAAACTAAGTATTTTAGGACATACATTTATACGAACATTTTTACTTATTTGTATTTGCAGAATATGCTGCCGGAGTTTCCGGAAACTAAACAAAACTAGAAAACGTCATTTTTACTGCATCACAAGCAAATAAAAATTAATACGTAGCCAAGAGTCATAATTCAGAATTTCTCTGGGGGTTGCCCAGCAGTACCTGGGGGGGGGGCGGCACACCCGGGCACCGTACAGTTCGGACCACCCTGTATACAAAGAAGCCGAAGCAACAGTAATGATATATATGATAGGCAGACGCGCTATCCCCAAAGCTGTTTACAGCAACATTAGAAGAAATCTTCCATCAACTGGACTGGGCCAACAAAGGATTATTAAAAATAGATGGAGAATATCTTACAATCTAAGATGACATAGTCCTAATTGCCAAAAATCCTGAAGAACTACAAACACAAATTAATGAACAAAATACAGCCACCAATAAAGTGGGCCTCAAAATAAATTTAGGAAAAACTAGGGGAAGTAATGTACAACGAACTAGGGGAGAGAAGGGACATTCTAGTGAATAACACAACACTGGAAATAGTAGAACATATATATTTGGAACAACTAATACACAGCTCGGGATCTCGACTACCAGAAATGAACAGAATAATTAAGTTAGCATGGAGTATTTATGGAAGAAACTCAATCATATTGAAATATTGAATATGCCACTCTATCTAAAGAAGAAAACATTCGACCAATGTGTACTACCAATCATGGCCTATGCATGCGAACCTGGACACTTAAAATGGCCATCATAAGGAAACTGCAGGTCGCACAACGTTCAATGGAACGAAATATGCTGGGAATAACCAAGAGAGACCGTAAAAGAATAGAGTGGATACGACAAAAGACCCAAGTAATAGATATCATCCATACAGAGTCAAACCCGTCAAATGGCAATGGGCAAGATATTATGACAAGAAGAACGGACAACAGATTGACCACAAAAATTACAGTATGGTCGCCCAAGGAATTAAGAGACCTTGAGGAAGACCAAACTTGAGATGGGACCATAATATTAGGAAGTTGGCAGGGATATCTTGGGCCCGCATAGTATGTGAGGGAGGCTACACCATAATTGGAAATGGCTGAATAAGCTGAAAATGATGATGATTTAAAAATAATGAAATGAACAAAATTCTTACAGCTTTAGTGTATATTAATAAATAATATTTTCTTGCCTTTAGCTGTGTATTTTTTCTAATTTCGAAAAATCGAAAGTAGAGAAAATTAAAAAAAATAAAAAGTAAAAAGAAAATTGTTTTGCTTGTCGTAAAGGGGGGAACCAAGCTCCACTCCCACAACCGGTTTCTGGGCCTACCCTTCATCAGGTGGGCTGTCCAGGGGCTGGTTCTCACCGATACGATACGGCAAGCAAAACTTCTTCTATATCAATAGACGATGTCGTAAAGTGTCGGTGAGATATTAGTGCATCTCCCGTCAAAAGATGGTAAAGAGCGTTTTTCGGCCCGCTCAAATATATGAAATGAACAAAATTCTTACAGCTTTAGTGTATATTAATAAATAATATTTTCTTGCCTTTAGCTGTGTATTTTTTCTAATTTCGAAAAATCGAAAGTAGAGAAAATATAATAAAATAAACATTTAAAAATAATTATACCCCCATTTACCTCAAAAAATGATATTTAGGAACTAATTTTAGTAGCATACTTGATTTCCGTGAAATAAAACATTTGAAATTTAATTTGTTTCATTGGAACAGTAAAAGTTTTGTTATATTTAACTAGTTAAAATTTTTGTTATATTTGACTAGTTTAAATTTTTGTTATATTTGACTAGTTAAAATTGTTGTATTAGGGCAAACTGTATTTAAAAGTATTTTACCTCTGTTTAGTTTAAATAATAATATTTAGGAACCAATTTGTAGTAATACTTGGTTCCGTGAAATAAACATTTGAAATTTAATTTATTTAATTCAAATAGTCAAATTTTTGTTATATTTTAGTGTACTAGTGTTTGATCCAAAGAAATTATATTTTTTGACCACCCCCCCCCAAAAAAACACTTTTTTAACTTAATATACCGTATGATCGAGAAAAAACGGCGTCAACGATGGCTATGAAATGAAGATCGCTGTCATTTTATATGTAAATTTATTTGGGAAATGTCATTGATCGTCATTTCCCAGCCAACCGGACGCCGCTTTTTTTCGATCATACGGTATTATCTGGAAATACAGAAGCGCGTCGCAAAAATTAAACATTACGCCAAATTTCAAATTATTGAAAAACTAAGACCGAACATATAGATAAATAATTTTATATTTCATGTGAGATATGTAAGATACGATATAATAAAAAAAATATTTTTATGTTTACGGACTTACCGGCTATTGATACTTGGTCTGGCCACGACCTGTTGTTGCAGCCCCAAAATCAACAGCATTACAGCCAAAAACTTGAAGACTGTCGTGTTCATCTTGAAGCAATATAAATCACAAAAAAATTCACTGAACAGAAAGTACCAAAATCAAATTAAAATAAAGTCTTTCGCGACAAAAAAAAAACACTGTGTCCAGTTTTTCACCAAGTCACTAAAATATGGTAACGAACCGGTGTAATAAATAATATGGCCAAAAAATAAAACTGACCGGAAATTTTGCGGAAATATTTTTTTGAGTGCCCGCCTTTTTGTGTTTTCGTTCGTGTTTTTTCGTTTTTGGTAGTCGGTGCGAATCGTGCGTTATCGGCTCGTTGTTTCTGGTTTCGGTACGGTTTTTCGAATAGCTCGTTCGTGAATGTCGCGCGGATATTTATCCATTTTTCTGCGAGAGGCGAAAACGACGACGAAACAGGGAGGATGGACCGCGAGATTGACTCCTGTCGGACGCGATCGACGCCTTATCGTGGGAGATGACAGAGCGAACGCAGGCGGTGCGTGCGACAGGATTCTTATCATTTTACGTGATAACAATGTGGTTTCGGCAGTCCGATGCTGAAAACCGCAATACTAAGTGCGGTACGGCTAATTAAGGTGCATTTTTACCACAAGCGATTGAATCTTATTATCAGGCTATATTAGTATTTCTGTGCTGACAGAGCATGCGAGTGGTGCAAAACACCTGCTGGTACTTTGCTCCGAGTAGGAAATATAGGATCCTATACAGGGTGTCCCAGAAATAAGTGCAAATATTTTAAGGGGTAGTAGATCTCGATAAAAGAAACATATTTTCTCTTTATCGTTTTTCAAATAAGTCCAAAATAACAGAGTTATTTTACTTTGAAAATTTCCAAAAAAAATGATTTTTTGCTAAAATTTTGAGAACCACTGGATCTTTTCTGGATTTTCTTTCTTGTAAATTTAATCTAATACCTATGTTTTCATATTATCAAGAAATTATGTTTTTGAACTTAAAACTAAAAAAATTTCCAAAAAAAATTTCAAAAAATTTCGAATTTTCAATTTTTTTTTCGCGAAAAAAACCTCATAGGCGTGTTTCTGGGGTTAAACTATACTACCAGTTAAAATATTTGCACCTATTTCTGGGACACCCTGTATAAAGTTCGAATCATTATAAATTCGAATTTTTTTGAATACGAATACCTACATTTGGAAACTTTTTCAATTTGAATCTATTTGAATTCAAATACTTTTGAATTTTCAAAATATTCGAACACTTACATTTCGAATATTTTTGAATTTGGATGCTTTTTAGAATGGAATACATACATTTGAAATCTTTTCAAATTCGAATACTTTTAAGAATCGAATACATTTCAAATATTTTTAAATTCACAAATTTTCAAGAAACGAATAGGTACCTTCTTTTTGAAACTATTTAAGTTCGAACCTTTGTGAATTCGAATACATACATTTCAAAACTTTTTGAATTCGGGCACACTTAAGAAAAAAATACCTACATTTCAAAACTTTTTAAATTCGAACACTAACATTTCGAATCTTTTTGAATTCGGATACTTTTGAGAATCGAATACATTTAAAATATTTTTGAATTCGCATAATTTCAAGAAACGAATACCTAGTTTTCGAAACTATTTGAATTCGGATCTTCGTGAATTCAAATACTTTAGAATTCAAATACATTTTGAATATTTTTGAATTTGTTTTTTTTTCAGAAACGAGTACTTACATTTCGAAACTACATATGTGATTTCGGATCTTTGCAAATTGAATTCGGATACTTTTAAGAAACGAATACCTTTTTTTCAAACTATTTTAATGCGAATCTTTGTGAATTTGAACACTTTTGAATTCGAGTACCCACATTTCAAATCTTTTTGAATTCGGACACTTTTGAGAATCGAATATATTTCAAATCTTTTAGAAATCGAATACGTTCAAGAAACGAATACCTACTTTTTGAAAGTACATATTTGAATTCGAATCTTTGTGAATTCGAATACCTTCGAATTCAAATACCTACATTTCGAATTTTTTTGAATTCAGATACTTTTCAGAAACGAATACCTACTTTTTGAAATTATTTGAATTCGAATCTTTGTGAATTCAAATACTTTTGAATTCAAAAACCTACATTTCGAATCTTTTTGATTTAGGATACTTTTCAGAAACGAATACCTACATTTCGAAATTACTGAAATTCGAATCTTTGCGAATTCGAATACTTTTGAATTGGAATACCTACATTTAGAAATTTTCAATTCAAATCTTTTTATGCAATTCAAATCTTTTCAAATCTAAACAATTTTGAGAATCGAATACATTTCAAATATTTTCAAATTCAAACACTTTTGAGAATCGAATACAATGCATTTTTTTTAATTCGAATACTTTCAAGATACGAATACCTACTATTCGAAACTATTTGAATTCGAATTTTTGTGAATTCAAATATGTACCTCCATTTCGAATCTTATTTGAATTCGGATACTTTTAAGAAACGAATACCTCTTTTTGAAATTATTTGATTCGGATCTTTGAGAATTCGAATTTTTGAATTCGAATACCTACATTTCAAATCTTTTTAAATTCGGATACTTTTCAGAAACGAATACCTACATTTCGAAATTATTTGAATTCGAATCTTTGCGAATTCGAGTACTTAAATTTAGAATTTTTTTCAATTCAAATCTTTTTAATTTGAATACTTTTGAATTCGAACACCTACATTTCGAATCTTTTTGATTTCGGATACTTTTGAGAATCGAATACATTTCAAATCTTTTCAAATTCAAAGGTTTTTTTAATCGAATATTTATTTTTTTTTAATTCAAATATTTTCAACAAACGAATACCTACTTTTCTTAACTATTTGAATTCGAATCTTTCTGAATTCAAATACTTTTGAATTCAAATATCTACATTTTGAATTTTTTTGAATTCGGTTATTTTACAGAAACGAATACCTACATTTCGAAACTACATATCTGAATTCGAATCTCTGCGAATTCGAATACTTATGAATTCAAATACCCACATTTCAAATCATTTTGAATTCGGATACTTTTAAGATACGAATACCTCTTTTTGAAACTATTTCAGTTAGAATCTTTGTGAATTCGAAAACTTTTGAATTCGAATACCTTTCTTTTCAAATCTTTTCAAATTCGAACACTTTTGAAAATCGAATACATTTTGAGCCACTTTTAAGAAACGAATACTTTCTTTTTTCCTTAAAAGTTTATTTTCTTCCTTTTATAGCATTCAAAAAAAGCTTGTTTCTAAAAAATAATTATTATTAATTTTATTCTTTATTGTAGGTACAATGCAGTCAACTATTATTTTTACAAAAGTGCCTATACGTAACAGCCCGTTAACTCAGACATGAAGGCGTTTCAAAAACATGTTGAAAAGTTCTGTCTCTTTAAGAATGCATGAAGAGTCCATTCACATAACAAATAGCTTGTTAAAACATTTTGTTAAACTTTTTGTCACAGGTAAACAACTTTCATATTTTCATATGACTAGATATTGCGATAACAAGCACCAATCAGCTCCGGCAAAAGTTATGTGATTCCACCGTGTGGTATTTCACTGAACGAGGAAACTATACATATATTTGAAGTGAAACTTCTTTAAGTGCGGTGGGAGTAATAATTCAAGGGCGTGACACGACACGCGACACGACATGCGAGAGGAAAAGTGGTAAGGACAGCCTACGGTTTAGAAAAAAGCGTCCGATTTAAACGAAATTTGGTATGTCGATAGATTTCCCAAGTAGCATTTTCACGACTTGCGACCACATGTTTACTAAACACAACGTTGGATTATTTACAAAAAATAGTTGCTCCGTACCTTGGGTATTAAAATAAATATAAACGTTGTTGTAACGTTGTGCCGACGTTGAACTAGTACTACAACAAAGTAAAAGCTGCTGCGACGTCGAATAAACGTTGTCTTGTAACATTTTTGGTTAAGTGATCTTTAGGTGATTCGGACAACGTACGTAGTTACAATGTTGGGCAATAAAGAGTTTTCCGACGTCACTTTCAGGACCTATTCCAACGTTATGCAAACGTCGTCTGTTTTACTAATTCCAACGTTGTATAGATTTCCTTATTCTTACGTTGGTAGGACGTCGAGCCACTACCTTTTTGCAACTGTATTGAACCATAAAACCATTAAATCTTAAATTTTCACTTCATTGTTCTGTTCAGTCAGTCAGTTCAGTGCTATTTTTCTTTTTATAAAAAAAACTTAATTAAAATGGGACTTAAGAAAGGCACATATAAAACTAAATTTAAATATACATGGACATATTACCGATACTTTATCCACTCTCTCGTTTATTTAGAATATACAGGGCGGCACAAGCTAAACTCTAGGATGACTAAGTTAGGCAATCTTGCGACTAGTATACTACCTGTTAAGGCTGAACTCCGACTTTATTAGTCCAGTATGCGTCTACTCGAACTACTCCATCTTAATCTCCAAAACAACAAAGTGAAAACCGCCATGTTGTTGAATAAGAAAATGTTTCGTTCCTGAAATAGCAATTCCTGCTTTTTGAATACATTAACTTGAAATATTTGACTCTAAACAACACGCGGAAACAATTTTTTTTTCGACTGCGAATAAACTATTCTCATTTTACTAAAAAAAAAAATAAAAAAATTTCATGAAATTTTTTAAAACTTCTTAAATTTTAAGGCCCATTAGTATTTTTTAAAGTAGAAACAATACATTTATCAATAAAGTTGTTTGCGTTTAACTTTTTTGCCTTGGGTAACGAGTTACAGAGTTGGTTAAAGTGTTTCAATAATTATGATCTTCAAACATCCTCCACACTTAAATACTTTTGTTTTGTTTTCCTTTACTGCCATCTGGCATATGTCTCTAACTAAATCATAAAAATAATATTTATCGTTTTTAGCCCAATTTAGGATAAAACGCGACTTAGACGCCATATTATTATAGTTTTGTATTTCTGTGAATTAGGATTTTAAACAACGTTGCAGTTTGTACTAAATTAGGCTGCTAGCCAACGTAGGTATCCAACGTCGTTTCGACTCAAAAATTATTCCCCAAACTAGTGCAGACTAGGGTTGGCACGAGGTTGTGCCGACGTTGCGTCCCGACGTTTGGTCGCGTGACACAACGTTGTCCCGACGTCCAAATGCTGCTTGGGTGGGCTAAGGCGAACTTGACCGTGAACGACACGTGTCACTGTGACAGTCAGTTTTGATGTAAGAAACGTCAAATGTTGATGTCGTTCGATCGCTACCAAATCTGGTAGGTAGGCTATGTGAGCGACGGTGCACACAGTCCTACCCTGCAAAGTTGGATACGACGTTTTGTTTACATCTTCATCAGGGTGGGACGAAGGATTTGATATTGAAGAAAAATGTGGGTTGATTTCGGCATAATT